AGAGACGGAGTAAAATAAATGCCAAGACACACGGAGATCTCCAAGGAACCAAGAAGCAGAAGCTGAAGAGACAAGGACCTTCCTCCAGAGCCAACAGAGAGAGAAAGTCTTCCCATAGAGCCAGTGCTCTGAACTGGATTTCTAGCCTCCTAAGTGTGAGAAAATAAATTTGTTAAAGCCACCCACTTGTGGTATTTCTGTTACAGCAGCACTAGATAACTAAGATACTGCCCCAAACAAAACAAACCCATTGCCCGTGGAGCAGTGTTACAGTGTAAAACTGCTCTAGTGGGGTTTCTTGGCTATAATCTTCATGAAAGCAGATCACCAGGCCTTTCTTCCATTTACTTTATACCAAAGAACAAACCCATTGCCATCTAGTCGATTCAGACTCATAGCAATCCTATAGGACAGAGTAGAACTGCCCCATAGCGTTTCCAAGGCTGTAATCTTTACGGAAGCGGACTGCCAAAATCTTTCTCCCGTGGCACAACTGGTGGGTTCGAACTGCTGACTTTCAGCTGGCAGCCGAGCACGTAACCACTCACTGCTCCACCGGGGTTCCCCTTTAGGTTATAGTCGAGACCAAACCGTTTGCACCACCCAGGGACCTTGGTACCTGCCCAGACACTGGAAAACGAGCGCCAGACCTTACAGCTTCCTGTCTGAGGTCCTTCCAAACACACAAATCTCACTGGGTCACTCTCCTGCTCAAAGCCCTCCTATGGCTCCGTAGGACCCTGTGGATTAAATCCCGAGCTCTTCAGGCCCGCGCTGGGACACTTCTTGGCCACTGCTGGTGCAGAAATATCCCCCTGCCGCCAGCAGAAACGTCCCCCCAGGCCCTGCCCCCAGCCACGCCTCACTCTCCGTTGTCCCGGACCCCGCAGCCCGCCCCACCTACCCATTGGACAGTTCGGAGACACCCGGAAGCTGATTGGCTAACCTGGACGTCAGTTAGGGCCGAGGCCTTGATAACCCAGATCCCAAGCTTCGAGGGGGCGGGCTCGGGCGCGGGCGCAGCCGGGGCTGTGGTTTCAGGTAAATCGCCAGCTTGGGGAGCACCGAGCGGGGTCCTGGGGGAGCAGAGGGCGCAGCGGACTGGGGCGCTGCACTTCAGCCCCTCTGCGGGCTCAGCGCGCTGCGACGGGGCGGGTGCGTGTCCTCCGGACGGGACCCTTCCCACACTGGGAGCCCACGTCGGGGGCGAGGGGAGCGAGAGGAGGCCTGGTTTCAAGAGATTGCCCCCTCCCGCCCTTCAGGAGCCAATCAGAGGGCGCTAGTTCGTCCCCTAGCGTCCCTCCCGGCTCCGGGACCCTTCCCTAGGGTCGCTCCCGGACGTTTTGGGGACCCGGGTCCGGCATCTTCGCGTTGGATTTGGGGGGGTGATACGGAAACGGTGTTGGGGGAGACGGACGGCAGACAATGGGCGGCGGATGGAACCGCCCGGCTGAGTTTCCTGTAGGAAACGGCTCTGTCCCTGTGAAGCTGTCCTGGGGTGGGGGTGGGGGGGCTGGGAAGGGAATGTCCTGAGGGGATGACCTGGGCACCTCCCCCTCCCACCGTCCTCAGCCTCTCCCCCCAACCTCAGGGGGTCTGAGAGTCCTGCCCCCAACATTAGGGAGTGCCCTCACCTTCCCAGGACTACGATCCGCACTGCCCGCTGCGACCCCCACTCCTGTGGCTTCGTGCTCCCAGATCCGCATCCCGAAATAGTCCCTGGGGCGGGAGTGGGGCGTGTGGCTTCGGCTCTGACGGCCTAATGAGGGGGTCTCAGGCAGAGGATCCGGATCTGGCGGTGACAGCCTGGGCAGGGAGCAGAGGAGAGGGGAGGGCTGCTCCACACTCTTCCTTCCATGAAAACGCAGCCCTTGCAGCCCCGCTATCAGGGACACACGCGGGGACAGGCATGGGTGCAGGCTGGGAGGGCCGCACCCCCTTGGGCTCCCTGCCTCCCCTGTGTTGGACGACTATTTCTAAAAAGTCAAGTGTAGTGGCCAAGGGCAGGGACTCTGGCTAAACTACTGGGTTCAAATCCTGCCCCTGCCAATGCGTGACCTTGAGCAGGTCACTTCCTCTCTCTGTGCCTCAGTTTAGCCACTTGTAGGAGGCTGGATAATGATAATAAGAAAACCTACCGCAGAGGATTTAGCGAAGGGGCCCTGGTGGTGCAAACGGTGAAGCTGCTAGGCTGCTAACTGAAAAGTTGGTGATTTGACCACTCAGGGGCTCCACGGGAGAAAGACCTGGCGACCTGCTGCCGTAAAGATTCCAAAACCCAAACCCATTGCCATCAAGTCAATTCCGACTCATGGCGACCCTATAGGACAGAGTAGAACTGCCCCATATAGTTTCCAAGCCTGTAAATCTTTATGGGAGCAGACTGCCACATCTTTCTCCTGCAGAGCACTGGTGGGTTCGAACCACTGACCTTTTGGTTGGCAGCCAAGTGCTTAACCACTGTATCACCAGGGCTCTCTCCATAAAGATGACAACCTAGGAAACTCTATGAGGCAGTTCTACTCTGTCACATGGGGTCAACATGAGTCAAAATCAGCTTGACTGCACACACAACAACAACAAATGTTGTTACTCATAACAAATGTTAATACTCACAAACTGCTTAGAATAGAGATTGGCCCGTAGTAAATGCCAAAAGCATTATTATTATTTCCCCTCTTGGATGCTTTGACTCATTTCTCAGCCTAGTCTCTGGGCTTCTGCTGGTGTGGGTCTCAGGGGTGATGCACAGCTGTTTTCTGAGGTCCCTGGGTCTCAAATCAGGTGTGACCGGGAGCCGGGGGCGGGGGCTGACCCCGCTGAGTCACACAGCGGCTGTGTTGGAGGCAGGCTCGGACCCCTGACCTCTGGCCCTGGCTTTTTCCACGACCCAGTTCTTCCCTGGCCACTTCCTGAAAACAAGTCCTGAGAGGCACAGGCTGTCCTCCGTGATGACCGGCTGCCCTGCCGCCCTGCCAGGGAGGTGTGGGGATGGGAAACAGCTGCTTGGCAGCTGGAAGGGTGCTGCTCCGCTTTAGGGGACGAGGGAGTCGTGTCAGGGACACAGGCTGGACCTCGCAGTGAAGCAGGGCGAGGACTCAGGTGGGCTGATGGGTGCTCAGTGGCTCAGGGGTGTCAGGCACACAGGTGGTCATCAGGAGGGCTGACCAGGAGGCCTGGACTGTGTAGCCTGATGGTTAGCCCAGATGGGCAGTGGCTCCAGGAGAGTACCAATTGGGTCTGCTGGCACCAGCCAGGGGAGGATGGGCAGGCAGGGGGGCAGTGAGGGACTGTGGCTGGGCATGCCGGCCAGGGGTCTCCAGAAGGTGGACAGAGCCCAGTCTGAGGGTGTTTCCCACAGGCAATTGACTTCATTGCTCTATGCCTCAGTTTCCCCACCTGGAAAATGTAATATCTCCCTTGCAGGATTGCAGGGGGGCATACAGCAGGTACTCACTACAAGCTGCTTTCCTTTGCCTGAAGGTTTCTCATGTGGGTTCGTCAAAGCCCCACCTTCCCCATCCTGTGCTTTTTTGTCCCAAAGTTCTGGACTCAATGTTTGGCCTTGTTAAATATCACTGTATTAGTCACGGCCCAATCGCCCTCAGTTTCTTAGAACCCTCATCCTGTCACCCAAAGGGTCCCTCACCATCCAGCCCCGTTGATAGCCATAGCTGCAACAACCTGTGTGCCCATGGCTCTGTTACAAGCCCTTATAAGCCAAGAACAGAGCCCTGTGGCACTCCAGTAGAGACCTCCCGGGCAGACAGGTGCCCATTCATTTGCACCTGTGGTACATTCAGCCCACAACTCTCCATTAGTCCTGCAAGGGTGTCACAAGGGACCTGAGTAAAAATTAGGAATTCAGATATACAATTTGATCTTGTTCGTATTTTCCTGCATTTTCCCAATTTCTCTAAGGAAAAACAAAAACATTGAAGAGATCCTGTTCTTTACTTTCTTTTTAAAGTGCTGAATCTGACCAGATGTTTTTTCCTTCTTCTTCCTTTTTTTTTTTTAAATGGTACTTTAGATAAAGGTTTACAGAGCAAATTAGTTTCTCATTAAACAGTTAATACACGTATTGTTTTGTGACACTGGTTGCCAACCCCATGACATGTCAACACTCTTCCCTTCTCGACTTTGGGTTCCCCATTACCAGCTTTCCTGTCCCCTCTTGCCTCCTTGTCCTTACCCCTGAGCTGGTGTGCCCATTTAGTCTCATTTTGTTTTATGGGCCTGTCTAATCTTTGACTGAAGGGTGAACCTCAGGAGTGACTTCAGTACTGAGCTATAAGGGTGTCCGGGGGCCCTACTCTCGGGGTTTCTCCAGTCTCTGTCAGACCAGTAAGTCTAGTCTATTTTGTGCATGTGTGTGAGTTAGACTTTTGTTCTACATTTTTCTCCAGCTCTGTCCGGGACCCTCTACTGTGATCTCTGTCAGAGCAGTTGGTGGTGGTAGCCGGGCACCATTTAGCTGTGCTGGACTCAGTCTGGTGGAGGCTGTGGTACCTGTGGTCCTTTGGAATCTTTCCCTTGTACTGACCAGATGAGTTTTTAATGAGTCCACAAAGGGCTTCCAACTCTCGCCCTCCTTTTCTAAAGGCTTACACCCCCCCACCACCACTTTGCTTTCTAATTTTCCCCAGGGATTGATGATAAACCCAGTAGGTCTGGAATGCCCCAGTCCCAGCTGCTCTTGTTCTCTTAATCACTTTCCTCTCTTCTCCTGAGATGACCTTCCTGCCTCCTCCCGCCCAGCAGATGGAGGCCTGGCACCTGGGGGTTCCTGTGGTCACTCAACCCAAAGTTTTAGAGCCTTTTAAGGGGAAGGGAGACTCTTGGGTCTGTTTGCTCAGACTTCACGACTGACCCTAGGGGCCTTCCCAAGAGGGGCGAGGCCCAGGTTATTACAGTGTCAGGTTGGGGCCGGCCAACCCCACTCTGACCCCTTCTGGGGGCCTTTTTTCAGGGTGTGTCTGGCAGCTGCTCCAGGAACCATGGCCGAGTTTGTCCTGAATCAGAACCTGCCTGGTGAGTGTGCAAGATGGACACGTGTGCACAGATCCACACTTGGAGCCCACGTGTGTGGACATAGTCCCCCCAGTTCTCTCCTCCACACGTTGCCCAGAGGGGCCTTTTCTATCCATCAGATAGTGTCACAGCCCTGCTGAAAACCACCTTGGTGCCCTGTCATGTGTGGAATAAAGTCCCAGCTTCTCATGGTGGCCCCCAAGACCCTGCACAGGGTCCTACCACCTCTCTGGTTCCTCTCCCCTCACCTTTCATTTTGTTCTCACATCCAGCCTCCTCTGAGCTGTTACTCCAGCCCGCCCAGCTCACTTCCCCCCAGGTCCTTTCCTCCTGCGAACTTTTGTCTCCGGCTGCTTCCTCCCCAATTTATAAGGCTCTGCAGCAGAAAACCTTCCCTAACAACCAGAGCCAAAGTCATGCCCCCTCCAGTTAGTCTCTATTTCATCATGCTGTTATTATTGGAGTCCCTGGGTGGTGCAAACGATTAACATGCTCAGCTGTTAACCAGAATATTGGTGGTTTGAACCCACCTAGAGGTGCCTCGGAAGAAAGGCCTGGCGATTTACTTCCAAAAAATCAGCCACTGGAAACCCTACGGAGCACAGTTCTACTCTGACACGCATGGGGTCACCATGAGTCGGAATCCACTCCACAACAAGTGGATTGGATTACTATCATTACTATTATTACGGCCCTTAGCACCCTTTGACGTGATCATGTTTATCTGTCTTAACCGTATCCTCAAACAGAAGACAGAGATGTTTGTGTGTCTTGCCCACTCCTGTGTCCCCAGTGCCCTAGAAAAGTGCTTGGCACGTGGCAGGTGCTCAATAAACGCGATTGCTGAATGTTTGGGTGCAGATAGGCGTGAGAGCCTTGGGGATGGGTGTGCAGGCACGGTGGCCGGTGTGCAGGGTTTGGCATAAGTGGAGTGGTGCGGTCGCGTCGTGGGGTGGCGGGGCGCACTCCTTTTTGTCCAGTCTCTCGGGGTCTCACCTGACGCCCCCTACGTATCCACAGACCTGGGTGGCCCTCGCCTGTGCCCGGGCCCGGCCGGGAGTGCCCGGAGCCCGAGCTCGACCTACTCGGTGGAGACGCCCTACGGCTTCCACTTAGACCTGGACTTCCTCAAGTACGTGGAGGAGCTGGAGCGCGGCCCCGCCGCTCGCCGCGCCCCGGGA